CATCTCACCACTCTTTAGCCAGCCAGATAATAGGTGCTGGGATAGAAGTGGTGAATGGGTTTCTCTCCACATCAAGGGAACAAGGAATTGTACCTCCAGGGCAATGTTGCCTGCTGAGATGAGGTGTGCTATCTTAGGAAAGGAGGAATTCCCCTTTCTCTCCCTTAGCTGCACAAGGAGAAGAGACTAGCAAGACTCACTCACTGCTCAGGAGCTGGACTCGGTGATCCTTCCAGCTGATGTCTCTTCCAGCTCAGGATAGTCTATGATGATTCTGTGACTATTTATTAATTTATCAAATTGCTCTAGCATTGCTTTTTCTTGGTATTACTCATCTTTCATCCAGAACTGAGCCAGACTCTCACACCTCTGACTGGTTTCTGCACATGGAGGTTTTAAAGCTGTATTTCCTTTTCCAGTGCATTTAGATCAGGGCAAACCTGTGTACAAGCATTCTCATATTTCATTTTGACAGCAAAGAAACTGCTTGAAATTACATCTACATGGTGCAGATAAGCCCTGGGTTTACTCCCCAGAGTAGGCTGGGTGAGTTGTTGGGTCTAAATGACTCAAAGCCATGTTGGAGCAACCTGGTCTAGTGGAAGGTGTCCCTGCCCATGGCAAGGGTTTGGAACAGGTTGAGCTTTAATGTCCCTTCCAACCCAAACCATTCTATGATTCTGTGATTCTATGATTTTACAATGACTCCTTTGGTGGTTTTTCGTCAAATCAGGTATATTCTTTGCTCTGTGTATCACTGGAAGCCACTTCAACAACCAATGTGTAACCAGATGGGGAAACCATCTCACTCAGTTACAAGCATATGTAGTCATTTTTGACACCAGTTCTTTCGTTATAACCACCAGCTCTTCTTGTGGTGGAGTGCAAACCCGTGGAGGCATCTTCTGATCACTGTCATGTAGCACCACCTCTCCTCTTACAGTAACCGCTGACCAGGAAATCGCACCCTGCTTCTTACTCCTGACCTATTTCTCTCCCACTCAATAAAACTAGCTCATGGGGTTGTTCTCACTTGTTTTTCAGGTAGAAAACTAGCCTGTATCTTTCTCTTCAGTCATAATTACTTTGACATTGGGTTCATGACAGCTAAATGGGTGTACACTCCTGTGTTGATGCCCCTAAACACCCATCTCCTTACCCTGAGAGTTCTAACAAGATGAATGAAGTAGCTAATTGACAAAATAAACAGATAGGTAATTAAGGAAGCCTCACCCGCAGGTCATGAAGTGTTGCAGGCAGCGCTATCAGCTGCAAACCATATGCCTCCCAGTGAGGCATGTGCTTGTACATGGGGATTGTTTCTAAACAGAACAGGCAACAGGGGTTATTTCCTTCTAATGGCATCATTCTTAGAGTGCGGCTGCTTGTAAATATGAGCGTGGTTATTTTTTAGCTGCTGGCTTTCACTGCCAGCAATCTATTCATTTTGTTGTTGGAACTAGATGATCTTTAAGGTCCCTTCCAACCCAAATGATTCCGTGATTCTTTGAATCTAAGAACCTGGCCAATGAGTTTATGCTTCTTGTAAACTGCACAGTCATATCGTCACTGAGAGCAAGCACAGTTCACAGCTGAGTAACAGCTTTTGCTAAAGGCTTTGCTTGTGTTTGAACCCTTCAGCAATGGACCCAGCTCCTGGGTGCCCAGCTGGGCATCTCTGGCTCTGAAATGTGGCTTAGATCAGCCTTCAGGGGCTCTGTGGTTTTACCAGGAGGAGAAGACACAGCTGTAGGTACAGTAGCAGTCCCACAGTGTCTTTTTGTAACCTGCTGGGCTAAGAAACCTCTGCTCACAGGTTGGTATTTGAGCCTTGTAAACTTTCCTATTCCTTTCCTCTTCTTGCCTCTCACTAACCTCCTTTCCCTGTCCCTTGCTCACTGCTCCCCTTGGCTGTGCCAGGTCTAGCAGCTCAAGCAGGGATCCTGGTGTGCAGCATCTCCCATGGGATGTTGAATGGAGCATGGTGCAGAGACTCCTGCATCAGCATGGGCTGGGGGGCACAGCAATGATCTCAGCCCAGGTAGATGCTTCCAACCAGACCTGTGCTGTAACCTGTGGATGCATTGACCTGAAAGTGTGAGTCAGGCCTCTTTGAGCTCTTGACCACAGGCAGATGCTCTGGGGGATGCTCCAAGGGACTACAGACCAGGACAGCATGTACCTCAAAATCATTGCTTTTAGAAGTGAACTGGAATAAATATGAAAAGAACAGAGAGGTTGCAACCTAAAAAGGTGAAACAGCCCAAGAATTATTTGTATTTGTGTTTGGAAACCAGAGGATTAATGGTTGGAAAACCCAGAAGTCAATATGGTTTATTGAGAGTTAGAGCTTACAGGCAAACTTTTAAGAGGATGAGCAATTTTCTGATCAGACCTGTGGGGATCTGTGGGTTGGTGCCAACATGAGGATATAGAGGATGGGTTGAGTTTCCGTATCAGTTATGAGTCTGATTGTCCTGGGAGATGTTCTGTGAGATTAGGCAAGAAATCTGCTCCGATGCCACCATCACAGGGTAAAACATGAGACTTGTCCTAATCTTCCCTGTGAGGGTGGTGAGGCACTGGCACAAGTTGCCCAGAGAAGCTGTGGCTGCCCCATCCCTGGAAATGTTCAAGACCAGGTTGGATGGGGCTTGGAGCAACCTGATCTCGTGGAACGTGTCCCTGCCCATGTCAGAGGGATGGAACTAGCTGGTCTTTGAGGTCCCTTCCAACCC